CCCTTATTCAAAATTTACGTTAAGCTTTGAAAAAATGAAAGTTTATGTACTAAAACGGATACTAAAATGATAGTTTAAGTACTAAACGCTTTTAATGACGGGATACTAAAATGAAATGAAAACTAAACATTAGGTATGGTTTTGAAAAAAAAATAAAAGTTTAGGTACTAAAATAGACCAAAACTGATAGTTTAGATACTAAAAACGTAGTTTACCCACTTGAAAACTATTTCAATTAGCTACAGAATCATAATTAACAAGCAAATTGATTGATAAAAGAGGTGACCAAAGCAAATCATCCTATGATGAATTCAAAAAGGAAAAGAAGCAGAAGCAAAATCCAAGTGGTGGTAATTCAAACGTAAACCGACCCAAAACATAACAGATGTTCAATGTTAAGACCAAGTCATACAAATTGATCGAGGATGTCCAAATTGACCCTTCGTTTTAGTTAAACTTCAACTGTTTTTGCCACTGATTTCTCAATTCTTGCAAGCCAACGACTTCTCAATGTTCTTTAGTCAATGATGCTAATTATTAAGATAAATAGGACAAATCTTGATTTTTTTATTTAAATTTATACATAAAAGTGTTTTTTTTTGTAAAGAACACAAATGATCCCCGACTCTAGGGTACTATTTTATTATGTCCATCGACTATTAAAAGTTATAAAATGGTTCTTCGACTATGGAGTGTTGCTTTGTTGAATCCCTCAACTATTAAAAGTTACAAAATAATCACTGGACTATTCATTATGCTCCAGACTAGTCCATTTCCGTTAAAAATTGTCGGTTGTTTAAGCTGGATGTTAACATGATGATTAGGATACGATAGTCTAATATTTTGGGATCAAATTTTATCATATCACAATCAGCAAGTTAACGTTCAACTCAAAATATCGTCTACTTTTTAACGAAAAAGGACGAGTTTGGAACATAATAAATAGTCATGTGATCATTTTTTAACTTTTAACAGTCGAGAGACTCAACAAAACAACAATATATATTTAAATGGTCATTGTGTAACTTTTAATAATAAAGCGACATAATAAAACAATATATTATAATCGGAGACCATTTGCATTATTTTTTTTTTCCCAGAGAATGGGATTTTGTCAAGGAACTTTAAGGAAATTTCTTTTAGTAGGTTGTTTCATATTTGGTTTGACGATCACATTACATGATTGAAAAATGAAAACCCATACCAAGTTGCTTAGTTAATTACTTTGAAAGACCAAGTCCACGGTTTCCTCTTTTGTTAATTTGTTATTGTTGGCTTTATTGTTCTAATTCTAGTTGTGATCCTTCTACTATGTTAAAATTTAGAATCTAACCTCTCTGCTTTATTTTGACACAATTTGGTCCCATTGTAGCTCTATTTTTATGATTATTTATAACAAGTAATTCCTTAAAAAATCATCCTTGAACCAACCAGTAATTGATTTAGTGAGATAGTGTATTAAATCTCTTAAGAAAATTATGAATTCATCGTGATATGAATGAAGTAAACTGGATTGAGTTGTTCTCGTAATGGATACAAATCAGATTAGTACACTTGATAAGTGATAATTATAAAAAAACCCAGCAATTATCAGAACAATTACCAAACATATGCCTTGGCATTTCTCACTTATCACCTTAATGAATTAGGGTTTCATGCATGTGAGCTTGTGTTGGGTTTAAGGTGCAGAATTGGGTTTAAGCTTTGAAGAAATAATCCACAAGTAACACTAAAACCCTAATAATTTCTTAAGACACCGAGCCCGGTAACTGGTTCTTTTCACTAACTAGCTAAATATTTGTCTGAGCTATGGAGCTTCAACGGCCCACATGAAGTGATGTATAGGAGGACCAAAACATCTAAACCTTTGGGAATTTCACTTTCCACCATGTGTGTGCAGTGTTTTCACTGCTGGCCCTCATAGCTGATACTGCTAGCAAAGCAACAGCGACGATGATTGAAATGGAATATAACGAAACCCGCAATAAGAGTCTCAGTGGTAACTTTTTTTTTTTTTTACTTTGGAAACCCTTTGTATTCATCGATCCTCGTGTGATCAGGTAAAAAGCTTCTGATTCACTTAAGTATATTAAGGTTACTTGAGCAAGGTTTCAATATTACTGTATTGATGATGTTACTTGTTATAAGTAATAAGCAGAAGCTCGCTCAAGGAAATGACTTTTCTGTCGGGAGATGACGTGGCTACCACACCAAAACAACATTATTTGACACGATCGTTTTGATACTTAAAAAACTCAAAATGATATCGTTTTGTTGATGGAAAAAATGATTTCAATGAGAATCGAATTATATACCTCTAGGAATAAAAGTTAAACACCCAACCACCAAACTAGCTTAAGAATTTGTTAAAAAACTTAAATAACAGTTTGAATTTTATCATGCTGTCGTCTCGTTAATGGATTAACGCTAGAGTGACATAATTGTTGTTTAACATAAACGTCAATGTTAAAATTGACAAAATTAAAAATGACATAAACGAGCTCGAGTCTAAAGATGAATTTACCCCGGTGATCTTCTATTCATTAACACTTAAAATCATTATTTCTCTTATCATATATCGATAATATCAGCAAGAATTTGAAACTTGAAAGCATTTTAGGTGGTAGGCCACCAACTTTTATTTTTACCTCTTATATCGCACTCCTGAAATTTGTATTTTTGCATGACTCACTTCATCCCACCAATCCACAACAAAAGATAACACCCGCTAGGAAGACAAATAAACCAACACATAAGTGTTAGGTTTTTTTAATTTATAATTTTCTAATAATAATATAATTTCATTAATGAAATATTAGTAAAATAGTATAAAAAGGATTTAATATTAATTATATATAATTTAAGGTCCTTATGATTATCTCTTCACAAGCATTTCCACGTCAGATTCTACACACCATGATTCGTTTTGACTACTTTTTCACCTCAACAAGATCTCACCTTTGACTCCTGTGTGTTCTTGCTTCTCTTTCTCACGTTTTACGATAGGACAAGATCAAATTTCAAACACGTTTTATGATTTGTCTCTTTCGTGACAAACAATCAGCAGCGCATTTGTTGTTTCATTGGTTCTCATTAAGAATAAAAGAGCAAACAAGTTGTTAAACACTAAGACATGACTGAGAAAACAAGGAGCATCACTATTTGAGATACTGTAAGAAAATTAAGGTCAAGAAATTCACTATAATCGACGGTTAATTACATTTTTTTACGAGAGTACATCAAGCTCTAAATACACACATGAGAGCCTCCGCATCCATCAACGATTCTCGTTTTTATCTTAATTTATTTATTTCTTCGTGCATCGAACTTTTCGAATAACACCATATGAATTAGTACATAGATCGAAATAAGTTGTAGCAGTCACATTGCTGGAGTTGAAGCATGTTTCTTGAGATAAGGAATAACACCATATGAATTAGTACATAGATCGAAATAAGTTGTAGCAGTCACATTGCTGGAGTTGAAGCATGTTTCTTGAGATAAGGGGGGAGAGGCAAAAGGTTTCAAAGTACTAATTGTAAGGTATGGTATGGCTATAAATAGAGGACAGGGGATGGAGCGGAGTGAGCGAAGTGAACATCAACTGTCCTTAAAAAAAGTCTTGTAGAGGGGGTTACGATTATGTGGGTTAGGGTGCGGGGGCTGTGCCCCGCGGTACGGTACAGGGTTAATTTTGTAATTATGTACCAGGGTTTTCTATTATAAATAGAGATGTAACCTAAACCTGTTATCATTGAATAAAAATTTTCTAGCGCCGCCTAGACATCGAGGACGTAAGCACATTGCCGAACCTTGTTAAAATTTTTGTGTTCTTTCGTTTACTTTGCTCGATTTATTAACACTAATGATGGTAAACTCACTAACATGCAATGATTTTAATATTTCACCTTTTCTGAATCAAAAGTAAAACAACATAATGAGATTAAAACAACTTTAACTTATGTTTGCGGGGAACAAAATCTATTCCCAAACAGGTGAACCATCATGATACAAACCAGACACAAAAATACAATAATTGATATTTCTGCTTATATATATATATAACTGAGGTTAATCTCACTAATTTTATCGGGAAACCAGGAAAGTTATATTGTGGGATGAGATATAATTATAAAATTTTAGGGTCAAATCTTAACTTTTCGCCTTAAGAAGACTTGAAACTAAATTATTAGTATTTTTTAGGTTTCAAAATTGTATTTTTTTTTCCGGAGTTAAAAGGGCCAAATTACATAATTTAAACTTGGGAGGGACTAAAGACATACTTTTACCACTTAACGGTGGGCAAAGGCATTGTCCACTGCTGGATTCGCCAGTAGTCGCATGACCGCATCCATCGTAGGTGAAAGATATATATATATATATACAAAAAGGCATTAGGGTTCCTATATCTTTTAAAAAAAATAATGTGATCATTGTATTATTTTTTATTAATATGATCCTCAAACTCAGAAAATAAACCAATGTAGTCCTTCGACCAATGTTTTTAGTAGTTAACCATTACGTCACTGACATGACAGTCCATACTGATTGATAATGTGATGAATAACATGACAGATGGCCTAAATTGGTAACTTAAACATGGTATATAGACTATCATGTCAGCATCGTGGATCATCACGTCAGCACTGTAACGATCAACGACGTAAAGCATTGGTCAAAGGATCACATTGGGTTTGTTTATGAGTTGGAGATTCACATTGAAAGAAAAAATAATGCAAGGGTCACGTTAATTTTTTTTCAAAAATATAGGACCTCTAATGCCTTTTTGCCATATATTTATAAAAATTTAAGAAACACTCTTATAATAATATTAATTATTTAAAAAGTAAATTTTTGATAATTTCTTAATTGAATTGGTGTCCGAAAAAGATAAGAAACTAATCTTCCCACAATTTGCATGGAGAAAAATCAAGCACAATGTTTTTATCCGATTCTAAAGAAGTAAGCAAGATGCACATTCTAATATAGGTAGGTTAAATTAGCAAATGAGTGCCATTAGACTGGAAGTAAACCCTGTGTTTGCTTTAACGTTTGGTAACAGAGTCCCAGTTTGACGTTTCAGATGAATATCGAAAAAGGAGAGAAATTTAGTGAACCTAATCCAATGGACTAGACATTGCAAAGTTCAATGGAGCCATAGTGAAGTAGTTCCTCAATCATTTGTTCAATGTGGTCCTCCTCAAGTGGTTTGAAGTTGAAGTGCTGGGTGGTTTCAAGTTGAGGTTTCTTGACAACCCAAGTGGCTTCTGTCTCTGGTAATGCTCTCTTTTCCTGCACTCCAACTCCCATTCCACTCTCTCTCCCTGGCCCTGCAATGCCATTGTTGCCCATAACCTGTGGAGTCGCTCCATTATTTCGAGGCTCCTGCACCGTTTGTTGTTTGATCATTTGAAGTGAAGCCAGGTAACATTTGTGTAGTTTAGCTCTCAAAGTTGCAGACAGAAGCTTGGATGATGATGATGATGATGATGATGATGACGGTTGAGGTTCACTGGGGTTGTACGGGAAGTTGGTTCTAGCCCTCACTCCACACATAAGCCTAGCTGCTTCGTCGTAGGCCCGAGCCGCGTCTTCCGCCGTCTCGAATGTCCCCAGCCAAATTCTAGTTTTCCTGCACACACACAAAAACTCACCTTTAGACTTCAGTACTCGTAAAGGAACCATAAGTACGAAAGGTTGATGGTTTTTGAAACAGAGTTCCACTTACAAGAGAGGATGGCGAATTTCAGACACCCAAGAACCCCAATGCCTTTGTCGAACACCTCGATATCGTTGTTGTGGTCTGGCCATGTCAGTAGATAAAGAAAAGGTTTGTTTTGGAAAAAATGTGTTTGTGGAAATGTCTCAATGAGAGTGATGCTATGGAGGGAAGGGTTTTTTTTTGTAGTTGACAGACATATATGGCAATTCACTGTCATCCAACTTGAAAATATTGCTGGGTCCCACAAAGGGTTCCAAGGGGATTCTTATTTTTCGTTTTTATTTAATTAAATATCGATATTTGATAATAACATCAATCTCGATCATATTTAGAGTTAAATCGAAAAACTCCGATCCACTTGATCTATCATAGGTTGCTTTGATACCCTTCTTTCCTCGTGAAAATCTAAAAGGTCACAATCCAATAGATTGTTCATGTGAATAGTCTTCGGCTTAGATAATGACTTAAGCAACACTACAAGTTGCTCCATTAAAAAACAGAGGATAGAAAACCCTATAATGTTGTATTGAACCATAAAAATCTTTGAATGTACATGTCCCAAAATCAATTATATTAAACAATTTGATAATGCCGATTTTGTTCGAGTATGGTTGTTGGAACCAGTTGATGGTATCACGTGGAAGTTTGAACATGTTCTTTCATGCACCCACCAGCAAAGCAAACTGCTGTTGCCCCAATTTGCACTTGCATGATTGAGTCAATCCTATGTTGTTGAGTTCATGGGAAAAAAAGAATCTTGGACCGTCATGATTTCTATATATATTCAACAATAATTATTTTTTTAAAACTAATGATAATCTTTAATTTTGTAAGAAAGTAAGAGATGAAGAACGTGAAAGAACAGAAGCCTCGACCGATAAATCATGCTAACAAGCCAAGTGAAAGAAGGCGGTATTTGTGGAGTTGCTTCTCTCTCGGCCGCTATTTCTGACTCTTTCTACTTGCTTGTTCGAGAGACCAATCCGCGTGACAGATAAAGACAGACAAAGTTCACGACAATGGCTCTTTTAGGTTTATTTTCTGTCCATTCGTTTGTTGAAAATTATGTTGGCAACTCATTCCTGACTCGACCTGTTCATTATTTTATGCTTTTGGAAATTAACTGCAAGATGAATGCGACTTAAATAGTAAATTTTTATATACATAATTCAGGACAATGTAAGGATAAGGCGTGGTTCTTGGTTTACAGATACCCTTGAGCTGATGTAATTTTGTGAAGATGATGCAAACGCGTAACATGGGGTCAAAATATAGATGTATTTTCTTGTTAATGTAGTGTGAAAATGGAGTCATCTCTCAAGGTTTTAGATTGACGACGATGGACGCGGTTCCTTCCAAAGTCTATATTGCTTCACATGGAAGCACATTGGCAGTGAATCATTTCAAACGAGTGTTGGGGTACGTAAGGCATGGAATATCTCCATCTACTACAAATTCATTATTATTGTTTCTGGCTGCTTCTTAGCTTGCATACACACACAATTGATCAACACAACTTTTCGGATTTGTATTGAACAAGGGAGAGTCTAAGGAAATGCAACTTAATTTAAGGCTGAAAACATTTTTTATAGCATTTTCGGTCGGGTCCATTTTCTTTCGTTCCTTAGCCTTAAATTAGGCTGTTGTCGGGAATAACTACTTTGAACACAATTAATCGATTAATTTATTAATGTAGAATGGTAAAAAGTTTAGGGTTTCCCGTTGGACAAGGACAAGAACTAGTTGTGAAACGGAGGGACTTTTTGTGTTTTAGTTTACCAGCCGACGCGGTTTCATGAGTTAGCACGAAAGGAATTTTGAGGAAGCTGATGGTGATGATAGAATAGAATAGAATAGAATAGAATAGAATAGAATAGAATAGAATAAAATAGAATAGAATAGAATAGAATAAAATAAAATAGAATAGAATAAAATAGAATAGAATAGAATAGAATAGAATAGAATGGTTGAGGCAGGGCCTTAGTCTAAGGGACTTTTGAACACAATTAATTAATGTAGAATAGAATGCTTGAGGCAGGGCCTCTGTCTTAAGGGACTTTTGCAGTGGCCTTGAGCAGGGATGGGCATGTACCCAAATATGACGGTTTCGACCTAATCCGATCAGGTTGGATATATTTAAAAAAAATAGGATTCGGGTCGAGTCGAGTCAGATTCGGGTCGAGTCGAGTCGGATTCGGATTTAGGGCAAAAAATTAAAATGTCCGACTCGAAAAAATTATAATTTTATCTTATATATATTTAGAGATAATTGCAGTAATATCCTTCTATATATTATTTTCATTCAACTAAATCTCTATTTTTATTAAATAAAAATAATATTTTTTAATAAATATATTATTTCAAGTCGAGTTGGGTTTAGATTTTATTCCAAAAAATCGATCGGATTTAGGTTAGATCGAATGGACTAAAAATCCAACCTGCCCGTCACTAATGTTCCTCAAATCGTTTTAGGCTTTTGAGAAATCCACATCTTAGAATGAGTCAATAAGCATCACTCACCCAATATCAATTTGGACCTTTCAAAACCAATTATTCCACCCCATTTATAATAATGTATCAATTCTTTCTTGGGCCTATTGCTAAAACTACTTCTCTTCATACAAATTCAAGGTAAATTACATATTTAATATCTAAACTATAAATTTTAATCTATTTTAATATCTAAATTTTTAGTTTTTTCAAAATCATATCTAAAGTTTAGTTTTTATTTCATTTTAGTACCGGTTCAAAATTTAACGTTAAGTTTTAGGGGAAAAAAGAAAGCTTAGGTACTAAACATGTTATATTTTTAACGACAGGGTACTAAAATAAAATAAAAATTAAATATTACATATGATTTTGAAAAATTAAAAGTTTAGGTATTAAAACGGATCAAAACTGATAGTTTATGTACTGAATACGTAGTTTACCCTAAATTTATTGGATATTTCTTTCATTTTCTTTTTTAAGTATTAATAAATTACTTTACTCGAATATATTTATTATTTTATTTCCTTTATTATGTTAAATTTTGGGATTCCATCGTTCAACGTGCGTCGAATTAAAACATAGAGATTTTATTTTAAATTTGAACATATAGAGTGAATAAATCCGTAATTAGACCAAAAAAAGCATATCTACTGACAGCGTACTTTGGCTGTTCTCTTCTCGTAGACACATCAACTCAACATGGGACATGGTCGTGAATCCTGAATCGTAAGATCTGAAATCAATTCAACATGGCGAACCTACTTATCTGCTGACAAGTGGCAAATTACTACACCTCAGTTTTAACGCTATCTCAACATTTTTCCCCTAGAAGACGATTTTGTCGCAGCACACTGTTCCTCTCTCCTTGTCGATTCCAACGGCGCCATTTCACAGTTTCCACTATTTTTTAGCTCAAAACTATCAAACTCAGTTGATCACCAAGCTTTTTGCTTCGAACCCATCGCCCCTTTCCCTATACTTAAAATCTTGTTGCTATTCATTGTTGTTATTAGCAGTTTGTTTAATTTCCTCATGGCTTCATCGGTACTCTCTTTGGCTTCTGCCACTCCCTCTGCTTCGCTTTCTTTCCATGGAATCCACAAGGTATTTTCTGATCACTTTCTGTTTCTGCTTTAGATACTGTTTGGTTATTGAGAAATGGAAATATGGTTCCCGCAGGGAAAATCTAATCTTGGGGGCATCAACAAGGAAAAAACCAATACTTTCATCAAAGCAAAGGTTCCCTTTTTGTTTTCTTTTCTATCTCATTACCATTTAAAGATCAACTCTTCATGTTCATTATGTTTATGTAATAATAATTAAGGGTTTTCCCCCTTGATCTATGTGTGACTCTGGGTAGCTGGTATTTTGATTTTTTTTTTTTTTTTGTATTGTCTGCAGTCTTTTGGTCGAACATCTATGGTTGTCGCATCCATTGTGTCTCGTTTTGAGGGTATAACAATGGCTCCACCTGATCCAATTCTTGGGGTATCTGAAGCTTTCAAAGCAGACAACCATGAATTGAAACTCAACCTTGGAGTTGGAGCCTATCGAACAGAAGAGCTACAGCCCTATGTGCTTGATGTGGTTAAAAAGGTATGGCCTGCTCTAGATTCTCCATTGACATTGCTCATAATTTGCTTTATTTGTTTCTGCAAAGGCTTGAGTGTTTGTTTCTTTGTCAATTAGTCTAGTTGGCCTGCTCTAGGTTCTCCATTGACAATGCTTATAATTTGTTTTGTTTCTTGATGCCAAGAATGAGTATTTTTTTTTTTTTGACAATTATGTTGAGTTGAAAATAATATATTTTGGCACCTCTAAATTTTCTAGGCTGATAAGCTTCTACTGGAGAAAGGGGAAAACCGTGAGGTAACTCGAGTTACTAATTTGCATACAAAACCTGAGATCACTCTTCTTTGGCTTGCTTACTATGGTTTTCACTTGCAGTATCTCCCTATTGAAGGCTTGGCTGCTTTTAATAAAGTGACTGCAGAGCTGTTATTTGGAGCAGACAATCCAGTTATAAAGCAACAAAGAGTGCGTGAGATTTCTGGCTATTGTCTTGTACCAAAATAAACTATGCCTAGTTTAGCTCTCTATGATGAATTATTTCAGGCAAATTTTGATTCTTGTTGATTTATTCTATTATACTTGTTTCCAGGTTGCAACAGTTCAAGGGCTTTCAGGAACTGGTTCACTTCGGCTGGCTGCAGCGCTCATAGAACGATATTTTCGTGGGGCAAAAGTTCTAATATCATCTCCTACTTGGGGTGAGTACCGTCTCCTTGTTGAACTTAGTTGTGAAATTTGTTCGATTGCTTAGTTACCGAGCCATCTTGCAGGTAACCACAAGAACATTTTCAATGATGCTAGGGTTCCATGGTCGGAATACCGATATTATGACCCGAAAACAGTTGGTTTGGATTTTGAAGGGATGATAGCAGACATCAAGGTCATAATACTCTAGCTAAAAATGCTCACTACAGTATATATCAACGTGCAATAAGTCAATTCCTTATTCTAGATTTATTCTTCAATTACACTTTTCAGGCTGCTCCCAAGGGATCTTTTATTCTTCTTCATGGTTGTGCTCACAACCCTACTGGTATCGATCCAACTCCAGAGCAGTGGGAAATAATTGCAGATGTCATCCAAGAGAAGAACCATGTTCCGTTTTTCGATATTGCATACCAGGTATTACTTGCCTGAAATTTTAGACAGAGGTGATTTAAATAAGAACTCCTTGATTTACTTTTTTCGATAGGGGTTTGCAAGTGGAAGCCTTGATGCTGATGCAGCATCTGTTAGGATGTTTGTAGCTCGTGGTATGGAGGTTATTGCCGCTCAATCATACAGTAAAAATCTTGGCCTTTATGCAGAGAGGATTGGAGCAATAAATGTCGTTTGCTCGTCACCAGAGGCTGCTGCAAGGTGCAATTATGTTGTGTTTAACGCTGGAAAATATTCTCTTTCAGTATGCAATGGTCCTTCCTTGAGAATGTCTCTTATGTTGCATGCATGTTCCAGGGTAAAGAGCCAACTGAAAAGAATAGCTCGACCGATGTACTCGAATCCTCCTGTTCATGGGGCAAGGATCGTTGCCGATATCGTTGGGGATTCAACTCTCTTCAACGAATGGAATGCAGAGATGGAAATGATGGCCGGGAGAATTAAGAACGTGAGACATAAATTATTCGATAGTCTTTCTTCCAAAGACAAAAGTGGGAAGGATTGGTCTTTCGTTCTCAAGCAGATCGGCATGTTTTCATTCACAGGCTTAAACAAAGCTCAGGTAATGGCCCGTTCCAACACTGATATACTCGATATGTGTTGGATATTGAACTGTCTTATAACATTATGTCTGTGTGTGTTTTTTCCTTAACAGTGCGATAATATGACGAACAAGTGGCATGTTTATATGACCAAGGATGGAAGGATTTCCCTTGCAGGATTATCATTGGCAAAGTGTGAATACTTAGCAGACGCCATCATCGATTCATATCACAATGTGAGTTAAATTAAGATAATGATAGCTGCAAAATTTTGTTGAGTTCAGCAATTCATGAATATTTAAGTGGTTTTACAGAAAAACATGTAATAATGTGATTTAACTGAGTATTGAAAACTCTTAATAAGCAACTAACGCTCGTGTTTCGAGCTGCAAATCTGCCTTTTTAGCCATTGATGTTGCTTGTGAAGTGTTACGGTTCAACTAAACTAGTATAAAGCATCTTATATGTGGTGTAATTTACAAATTGTATGAACAATCAGAAAATCTTATACTCAGGCTAAACCAACTAGTCTTCCGTCCAAATATCATCAGAAGTTTGCATCTAATTAAGCAATCGAACTGATACAGAACTATGATTTTACCTATAAAAAACCTGAAACCAAGCCTGATACTGATTTTGAGACATGTCAAGACTGAACTAGGTAGGTTTTGGCTTTTCGGGTCAAGGGTCTACAGATTGTTCAACTCTTAAGGTCCCTCCAAGCTCCGTAGGAACAAGAGGAATAAGTGAGTGGAGAACATCGGTTATCAACGGGCGATAGCTCGGTTCTGGTTGCACACATAGCACAGCTACAGCTGCAACCTACAATATTACAATCTCACTTTGCAATTATATCAAAATCATGCAAAAGCGAGAGGAACTGGTTTCAGAAAGTGAAACACTGAACAGCTTTACCAACCTGACATAAATGCTTCAAATCCATGGTATTTTTAATCACAGGATCCACAATGTTTGGGAGTTGAGATCTATCAATAAGCTTAGGTATGGCCTGCAAATTCATATGATAGTTATGCATTAAATTGTCTAAACGGTCGGTCGATTTTTCGAAGGCGAACTAAAATTCGAGCAAGGCATACATACCCATGTGACAATAGATATGTATTGAGCTGGTGCCAGTTTTTCTACAGGCTTTCTTCCCAATAATAGCTCCAGCAACACAATACCGAATGCATAGACATCACTCTTATCTGTTAATTTCCCTACAAAAAGCAGAATACCAAATGCAAACATGAACAACAGACTGTCGGAATCGATTGCTTGATTCGCGTACATACCATCTAAAAGATATTCCGGAGCTAGATAACCTAAAGTGCCAGAAAGCTTTAAATTATTCTTGTTTTGGTCTGCATCAGTTACTGCTAGACCAAAATCTGAGAGCTGTCTCAACACAAAGAAAGAAAGTGAGCAACGATAGCACAAACACAAGTTTTTACACTGTCAAATAATTTATGTCCATAATCTATTACCTTGGCGTTGAAATCTGAATCCAAGAGGATGTTAGATGATTTCAGATCTCTATGGATGACTGCTGGATTACATAGCTCATGTAGATATTCTATCCTCTGGTCAACAATGGAGATATTTGTTTATTACTGTTTCATTAACTGAGAAGAATAGAACAGTGGATGTCAAAAGCTCACCTTGCTATATCCATGGCAACTTTCATCCTCCTATGCCAAGTTAACGATGATCCATGGGAAGGTCCTAAAGCATAACAAAGCTATCACATTTCTATAATCTTTGTGAGAGATTGAAAGAAGAGAGCTTCTTAGTTCTGTTACCATGTAATTGAGTTTCTAAAGAACCATTTTGCATCAGTTCATAGACAATAAAACTTGTCTCATTGTAACTGCTGAAACCCAACAATGAAATTATGTTTGGATGCTTGAAGTTAGAAAGCAAATCCACCTCATTCTGCGATTTCCAGAGAATAACATCACAACAAAGATGACAATCCAGGAAAACAAGTGAAAAGAATGGGATTTTTAATACCTGGAACTCTTGTTCTGCATCATGGCTTGAACATTCCAACTTTTTGACAGCAGCATAAGAACCATCAACGAATTGAGCTTTGTAAACACATCCAAATCCACCAATTCCCAGAATATTATTTTGATGGAACTTGTTGGTAGCTTCTGCAAGTTTCTTGTAATCCATAAATGAAGCAAAACCCTCCTTGGGAACCATCCTCGTAGACTTGAATTTACCCAAAAATGGTGCCAAAGCAATCCCTTTTTCAGCATCTAACCACAAAAGAATCAACTCTTAAGTGCACTCTCAGAATCGCAGAAACTATGAACAAAGGAATGAACTGAGCATTGGCTCAAGAGAGCATACCTGAGCTGTTGGCATTATTTTTGACGGGTTTAAGTGAACTCTTTCTGTAACAAATCCATAAACAAAACAACGAAACGATAGTTACACCCAATGAAGAGCAAGCAACACCGAGAGCTATTAACATTTTCTTTGACAAACTCATTCTTTTGTGCTCCTCACTCCCTGCCATTTCAGTAACCACTTTTTTGTCAGCAGAACTTGGAGAGAAAAAGTGAGCAATGGGTGCAGTTTCAGTACCTGGAAAGAAAGGACTAGAAATGGGTGACGAAACAGGGCCTTGCACCGCAAAAACAACAACGGTTTCATGAAAAGAAACAAGGCAAAGAAGCAGAAGCAGAGGTAGAAGCTTCTTCTTCATCATCCCTTTGTTTCTTTTTTCAGAACGGTACTAAAACTTTTACGATTACTGGCAACACTGAGTTTTCATGAAGACACGAAGAAGGATATATTATATTTACGTGGACTAAGCTGTAGCCAATACCTTGGGTGCTTACTTTTATAGTTTTGTTGAACCTCTGAACTCTGTAAACACCTTTTTCGATCCTTGTTTTAGTTGTTTGTATCCTGAGGAAAGACAAATAAATGCAGGAGGATGTTATCTGTTGTTTTCTTAGCTTCAACCCCACTATGTGATGATCTTTGCATTACTAGAAATCAAACTATTGATGAATATATACGAGTTCGAATACATGTTTTATAAATACGAAACCAAATCGTTATATACGAGTTTGAATACATGTTTTATAACATATACGGTAAATTACACATTTAGAATATAAACTATCGATTTTAGTTATATACGAGTTTGAATTAAACTTTCAATTTTTTCAAAACCGTACTTAACGTTTAGTTTTTGTTTTGTTTTAGTATCCGTCGTTAAAAACTTAACGGACGGGCACTCCGACCACCGTGTTTACACTCATTGGCCGTCGCATCCCTCGGCCGATAAAGCTCAAACTTTCTAGCCCGCACCTTTTCGATCCCTAAACGTGATTTCAACCTCTATTTCATCGAAAAATGCCTCAATCTCCCTAAATCGATGACAAACTATTCGACTTCTTCATCCTTCAATCTTCGTCATCAACTGCCCGATGAGCCTGAAACTAGATTATGTTGGTAGAGTCATCATTCTCTTGTGGTCCATCGTTCGAATTGATCGTCCGTCCACCGAAGAGATGTGTTGTCAGCCCGTCAGTTAAGTTTTTAACGACGGGGTACTAAAATAAAACAAAAACTAAACGTTAGATATATATTTTAAAAAAATTAAAAGTTTAAGTACTAAAATAAATCAAAATTGATAATTTAGGTATTAAATGTATAGTTTACCCTAACATATAAGATGTTTATAAATAAATATTTATTTCATAAAACATATGCTGGAATCAAACTCTTATATCGGGATATCTCTCGTACGGCAACTTAATATACGGCTAAGGAAATGCGCTATGAAAATGTTATTAGTTTTTTAACATTTTCGGTATAGTGCTACCTAAAACATTATTTTTTTACCTGAAATGTTAATATTGTGCGTTACCTAAAATATTTTTTTACCGGTTTTTTTACCAGAAATTAGGTAGCGAAATTAACATTTCCGGTAAAAAAATAATATGTTTTATCGGAAATGTTAAAAACCAATAACATTTCCGATAACATCTTTTTTTAACTATATATTAAACTGTCGTACCGAGAACTATCATACACCTCTCTTTTAAATATTCTAAAAACAGTACAACTACCCATCAAAGGACAGGACCCTTAAATGAGAAAACAAAATTTATTGGGTCCGAAATTCCTCAACAGAAATATAATACTACAATGTATTGGTAATAAAAGAAAGTAGAATGTCATTCTCACGAGTAACTCGCAATACCATAAATAATTCGATTCACCTAATTTGTGAGATGGAACTGAAATCTCAACGGTTTTTACTTTATTAAATTACTTTATTAAATTATTAATGACAGCAGATCCTGAGTTTTCTAATCTCCCAAGTTCAACGATGTTCCGGATTATCATTTCGGTGATAAAAAAATTGTTATTATTATTTGAGATCTCGAGTTTGAGCATTAAAATATCAAGGGTGTGAACACTCAACATCAATGGTTAAAAATTATATTTAAACAGTTATTACATTATATTTACCCCAAACTAATAATAAAAAAAAAACAATGTTCGGATAGATAGCTTCAAGCTTGAATCTTTCTTTTTCTAAATGTAATTTGTACAAAATGTATTTTTGTCTTTTTTATTTTGACCACTAAACTTTCAAGAGTTATATTATGATAATTTATATTATTGCTTAATCATAAAATAATCGATCAAACTTAAATTTCATACATTAATGATGTAAAATGTTAATAAAAAATTAATTTTTAGTTTGATCCCTCAACTTTAACTAAAATACAGATATAGTAGCTTTTACAATTCTTAAAAATACTTTACATATTTCTAAAATTATCAAACTGAATATTAAAAATAAAAGGATTGAGGATTTCTTTTGTCTCTGTAGTAGACTCAATTTATCGCATTCGCCCTTATTATATTTTCCTATCAATTTAACCCTCAAAGTTATTTAATTACATCATTTTATGCTCTACCCCTAACTTAAAACCCTAAATTATAAACTCTAGTTAGTGTTTAGGATTTAGGGTTTTAAGTTAGGAGTAGGGATATAGAATGATACAATTGAGCAACTTCGAGGGTTAAATTGATATGAAAATACGATGAAGACGAAAGTGTGCCTACTATAGGGAAAGAAGTTACCCTTTTACCAAAATAAATATTAACCATTGAAGGTTGATATGTTAAAAATGAACATATTTTAAAAGTTACACATATCCAATAATTGTACATAATGATGGGAAAAAAAATTTGATACAATTATAAAGTCGGAACCCATAGTTAAAGTTAAAAACTCTAAAAGATTAGAAAAAAGAAAGAAAAATGAATCATTTGGTGCATGGTTTGGTTGGAAAGAGTTGTCAAAGTGATGTTCTGAGGTTTCAAAGTAAGTCTATTTAATATATATATATTTTACTTTTATATTAGATTGTTTATAATACAAGAATTACAAGTCAAATCTGCAATGCTTTTTGTGATAAGTCATTATACCTAACTTTATCAGATGAAATCTTAACAGTCTGTCTTATTTTATACATTGATGATGGATTTTTTTTAAGTAAATTTGAGAAATTATTTTGATATATAATAAAAAATACGTAACAATTTCTCATAATTATCCTTTGTATACCTAACCCTACAACTAAAGGCCAACCGACAGTTCCTACTAATAATTTTAGAATGTAAACTCTTTTTATTTACTTATTGTTTATGATTATGATTTGTGTAAAGCATAAAATAATCATATATCACATGGCTAGAGCTTGAATAGCTTTGATATAGAATGGTTGAACAACTTTAGTATGAGACTCCAAATAATGAGCCGTTTATGGTGTGGCTGAGAATTTGTATTTTGTTTGAGGTATCATCACTCGAATGGTTTGATTATATACTGACCAGAATCCCCCCTGAGGCAGTTGAAGCTAAGACATGCATACAAGCGGTCCTTGTGAGTTTGGAGTCGTCTTCGAAGGTGATTCACTAAATGTAATCAACAAAATGACAAGCCCCATGTTGACAAATATTCAAAATGTGCAATCCCATTTCCCCCGGTAAAACAAGAGACATTTTGAACATATATCCTTCAACCATGTGTGAAGAAATCAAAACCTTCGAGTCCATCTCCTTGCGAAAGTAGGCAGTTTTTTCACTTCACATATACTTTTGGTCCAGCAGTCGTTCGTGACCGTTGGTGGGTTGATCGGAAAGTCTTCATTCCTTCTCCGTTATTATTTGTTTTCATCTGCATGCATAAGTCTTTATTCTACTCCGATTCACCCTCAGAGCTCGAGCCCATATGAAAGTTTGATCTTCTCTTCTCCGGAAGTTATCTACTTTTCTTTGATTTCTGCTCTGCTTTTCATTTAAGTTTGTCCAAGCATGGGTTGTCTGTTCCCGGTAATGTTGTAATTGCAACATTCACATTAAAAACATTAAACCTAATTGGGTAAAAATAAAAACAAAATATTATCAAATTGAATCAATAAGCAGGGGCGGGGCAATAGGGTGTACAACATGAGCAATCGAACAGGGGCCCGGAATAGCAAGGGTCCAAAAAAAATTAGATTTATTACAATAAAAATCTCATTTTTTTTGTTTAACTCCACTTTACGAGAAATGAATTCATCTTCATGATCTCCCTATCCCACATCATTAGGATTTGAGTTAGTAATATCATCAATCTCCCTATATATACTGCATTCAAACTTTACAATTTTTAGTAAGGAATTTGCAAGGGCCCCAGGATAGCAAGGGCCTCTTTTTAAGAATTTGCACATGGCCTCCAACATCCTAGTCCCGGCCTTGTGAATAAGTTAAATTCTTATATCAATTAGATCAACAAGTCAAGTTCAAATACATGATTAGACAAAAGGATTTGTATACCGTATTTTTTATTGGTTAAAATTAACTATAATTTTGAACAAAAATACAAGTTTATGTATCAATTTGAATAAAAAATTAAGTTCAAATACCTAAATGGACAAAAATAATTACATGTCAAATTAAATCCTAAAACTAAGTCCATTTACTTAATTAGATAAAAGAATAAAATATAAAATTAAACCTTAAAATCAAATTAAAATACCAAAACTGTATATTTATTTATTACAAATCAGGAAACGGTACAGAGTATGGCACAAAAGGAGGAATGGCATTAACCCATTAGATCAGGCTTAACTCTTGGATGACGGGCCAGTTGGGGCATTGATAAAAGCCCAAACCATGCTAAACAATTAATGAATTTTGGGTAAACTATGCGTTTAATACTTAAACGATTAATTTTAGTCTGTTTTGGTATCTAAATTTTCATTTTTTTAAATTGTTTAATTCTTGTTTTATTTTAGTACCCGCCGTTAAAAACTTAACAGATTAGCTTGTCAGCCGCCGCGTCTATAGTCGTCGGCTAATAAAGTCCAAACTTTTTAGCTCGTTCCTTTTCGACCCTCTGAAGGATATTTTGGCCTTCGTTTTACCGAGAACGTCTTAATCTCCCAAAATCGATGATTAACTTTTCAATTTCTTTATCATTCGATCTCCATGTCCACTGTACGATGGGCTTGAAACTGTACTATATTGGTCGACTCGTCATTCTCTCGTGATTCACTGTTCGAATTAGTTGTTTGTCCACCGAAACTATGTCACGTTAACTCGTCAGTTAAATTTTTAACGATGATGTACTAAAATAAAACAAAACTTATAATTTAAGTATAATTTTAAAAGTAAAAGTTTAAATATTAA